TTTTTACATGGTTTACATTCCCCAATAACTATTAGCAGACATTCATATGGATACTATAAATCCTTTCCAGCTAGTGTGTAGGTTGCTTGTTATTGCAAACGTATGTGTATCAAAGAACCATTGCACTATTTAAACTGTACAGTGTAGAGAGGATGGAACAGGCAAATACTATCCAAATCTAGCTGAGCAAATAAGGGGGTGAAGACAGCCAAACAGGCATCATTGTATTGTCTGGGACAACCTAGAAAGATGGAGCAAAAGGAGAGACACACTTTCTGTGCACCATTTCCTGGCCATTTTCCAGTGGCAGTTAATGTTAACTGTGTCATTGCCAGCAAGTGGGCAGGGCAAAGGTGAGGCAACAGTTAATAGAAGTCAAACTGCGAGAGTTAGAGATGTATGAGGAGTAGTGTGAAGGGGCTGTTCTGGCTCGAAGGTACAAGGAGATCTGCAGGATTTCCCTGGAATTTCAGGACATTGTATGGTTGGAAAATCCACAACCCCCATCTCTTCTGTAGGCCTGCAAACTTGTTTCTTTTTGAAGGGATGATGACTCTGTGTAGTTCACCACATCAAGTTTACCAAATCACTTTCCGCTCTCATTTTTTTTTTCCTATGTGAGGGATCATGGAATCATAAAATATAGGGTGGTGAGGGACCTCGAGAGGTCATCTAGTCCACCCCCTGCATTGAGGCAGGACAAAGTAAACCTGCTCCATACCTGATGGGAGTTTCTCGAACCTGTTCTTAAAAACCTCCAGATGTGGAAATACTCCAGCTGAGGTCTCGCCAATGCCAAGTAGAATGGACCAATTACCTGGTACTTCCCGTGTCTTACATATGATACTTCTGGTTAACCTGCCTCAGAATGATATTTGGCTTTTTTGCAACTGCATCATACTGTTGGCTCATATTCAATTTGTAATCCACTCAGACCCTCAGATCCTTTAGCTCATAGAAATTAGGAATGAGGAAAGACCCATTACATGTTTTAGGCCACTCCTTGCCAATTCAGGATTATTCCCTAAAGTATATTCCCTAGGCCAAGTGGGACATCCACTACTGTCTTTAAAAGACCCATCTTTAGAATTCATATAGATGTACATAAGAACGGCCATACTGGGTCAGACCAATGGTCCATCTAGCACAGTATCCTGACTTCTGACAGCGACCAGTGCCAGATGCGTCAGAGGGAATGAACAGAACAGGGAAATTATCAAGTGATCCACCCCTGGTCGTCCACTCCCAGCTTCTGGAAGTTAGAGGTTTAGGACACCCAGAGCATAGGGTTGTGTCACGGACCATCTTGGTTAATAGCCATTGGTGTACCTGTCCTCCATGAACTTATCTAATTCTTTTTTGAACCGTTATTCTTTTGGCCTTCTCAAAATCCTGTGGCATGAGTTACACAGGTTGAGTGCATGGTGTGAAGTAGGGGCTATTTACCTCTCTCCATTCTGAAAACTGATCCTTTATTTCTACCTTTTGTTTCCTGTCCTTTAATCAGCTAACTGATCCTTCCCTCTTAACCCATGACTGCTTATTTTGCTTAAGAGCCTTTGATGAAGAACTATGTCAAAGACTTTCTGAAAGTCCAAGTACACTGTATCCTCTGGATCACCCTTGTCCATGTGTTTGTTGACCCCCTCAAAGAATTCTAATAAATTGATGAGGCATGATTTCCCTTTACAAAAGCTGTGTTGACTCTTCCCCCAACAAATCGTGTTCATCTATGTGTCCAATAATTCTATTCTTTACTATAATTTCAACCAATTTGCCTGGTACTGAAGTTAGGCTTACTGGTCTATGATTGCCAGGATCTCCTCTAGAGCCTTTTTTAAACATTGGCATCACATTAGCTATCCTCCAGTCATCTGGTACAGAAGCTGATTTGAATGACAGGTTATATACCACAATTAGTAGTGCTGCAATTTCATATTTAAGTGCCTTCACAACTCTTGGGTGAATGTCATCTGGTCCTCATGATTTATTACTGTTTAATTTATCAATTTGTTCCAAAACCTCTTCTATTGACACCTGAATAGGGGACAGGGCCTTAGATTTGTCACCTAAAAAGAATGGCTCAAGTGTGGGAATCACATCCCCTGCCTTGCAAAGAACTCATTTAGCTTCTCTGCAATGGCCTTGTCCTCCTTGAGTGCTCCCTTTTGCATCTCGATCGTCCAGTGGCCCTACTGATTTTTTTGGCAGGCTTGCTTCTTCTGATGTACTTAATTGCTGTTAGGTTTTGTGTCTTTTGCTTTTCAAATTCTTTTTTGGCCTACCTAATTGTACTTTTACATTTCACTTGCCAGAGTTTATGCTCCTTTCTATTTTCCTCACTAGGATTTGACTTCCACTTGTTAAAGAATGCCTTTTTGCCTGTTGTTTAGCCATGTTTTCTGGTCCTCTAACTGTGCTTTTTTTAATTTGGAGTATACGTTTAATTTGAGCCTCTATTATGTTCTTTTTCAAAAGTTTCCCTGCGGCTTGTAGGCATTTCACTTTTGTGGCTACCTTTTAATTTCCATTTAAATAGCTTCTTCATTTTTGTGTAGTTCCCCTTTCTGAAGTTAAATGCTATTGTGGTGGGCTTCTCTGGTATTTTCCCTCCAACAAGAATGTTAAATTTAGTTACATTGTAGTCCCTATTACCAAGCGGTTCAGCTATATTCACCTCTTGCACCAGATCCTGTGCTTCACTTAGGACTAAATAAAGAATTGCCTCTCCTCTTGTGAATTCCAGGACTAGCCACCCCAAGAAGCAGTCATTAATGGTGTCTAGAAACTTTATCTCTGCATCCCATCCTGAGGTGACATGTACCCAGTCAATATGGGAATAGTTGAAATCCCCCATTTTTATTGAGTTTTCTATTTGTTATAGCCCCTCTAATCTCCCAGAGCATTTCACCATCATGATCACCATCTTAGTTAGTCAGGTGGCTAGCATAGGTGCTAGAGCTAGGAGTGCAGGGGTGCTGCAGCACCTCCTGACTTGAAGTGGTTTCCATCATATCCAGGGGTTACAGTTTGGTTCAATGGCTCTCAGCACCTCCACTATAAAAAGTGTTCCAGCACCCCTTGTGATTGGTAGTATATTCCTCTGCAGTGGTTCTCAAACTTTTGTACTGGTGACCCCTTTCACACAGCAAGCCTCTGAGTGTGACCCCCCCCCCCTTATAAATGAAAAACACTTTTTTACATTTAACACCATTATAAATGCTAGAGGCGAAGGGGAGTTTGGCGGCTGACAGCTCACGACCCCCCCACACACCCTGAGGGGTCACGACCCGCAGTTTGAGACCCCTTGTCCTACTGTTATACTCTTATTATACAAGCATGGAAAAAATGTGGTATAAATTTATTTTTTGACATGGCCATAGCCCAATTTTAATGGTCTCTTGCAATCAATTTTAAAAAATTGCTCCTAGTGTAAGACCTTGTTAACCAAGTTTTATCCAAAGCTAATTTTTACAGCCCTATCATACTACCCAGAGAATAGGAATTTACAGTGGAAACATTGACCACCCCTGTATTGATGTGAATGGCATTATTATAATTTAATTACTCTTCCGTTTCTTTCTGCCACAAGGTGTGAAATGTTAGGTATATACCTTATGAGATCACAAGCAATCATACCACAGTACTGTTTCAATCGGTGGTAAATGAAATCATTCACTATCCAATTACATTCCAAAAGCGTTTGCTTTAACAGGCTGACTACTTTGCTAATTTATCAGCTAATCACTACAAACGCATTTGGCCTCAGTTCAGAGACTGTTGGGTCCTGAGCCTCATGCTGGGGCTAATAGTACTGAAAAACCTGACATAATTCTGCGTAATGAAATTAGTGCAATCCTGACCCATGCAGCTGGGGACAAGTTGGAACAAATGTTTGTTTGTCCAAGGTCATGTGTGTCTCCCTGCACACGTACACACAAGAAAAGTTCAATATTCTAATTAATATTTCATAGTATCCTTGCCTAATAATTGTAAATAAAAACACAGGACAGGATGGAAAAGTCAATTTTCATACAAACAGAACAGTCTCGCAAAATTTTACTTGTGCACTGATTCAGAGGGAGGGTGGTTGTATTTTTGATTGGGTGAGTAAAGCATATTTTCATTGTGATGAATGCAGGCTAGTAGGCATTGTGCTTGGACTGGTATATTTTCCACAGATTGAAGAATGGCTTTATACTAAGGCACTGAGCTGCGATTTAAGAAATCTAAGCTCAGTTCCTGGCTGTGGCACATATCTTCTCTGGGATCTTCGGCAAATCACTTCCGTTTCCCACCTGTGAACTGGAGATAGATAAAGGATGAGAAAAGCAGAATGCCTGTCTCGCCTATTTAAATTATAAGCTCTTCAGGGCAGGGAGTTTTTTTTTACTAGGTATTTGTTCAGTGCCTAATGCACTGGGGCCTTTGTCTCATTTGGGGCCACTGGTTGCTACTGCAATATAAATAATTAATAACATTGCAAGGCTACAAGAGTGCTATTAACTGAATTAATAAGGATAGCCATTGTAACCTTGTTTGATACAGCCCTAGTTATGGGGTACATTTTCAAGGTAGGGCTATAGCAAGTGTTTTATCTGGGAACATGATATGGTCAATATGAAAGCTGGTGTTTAATTTTGGGCTACCCACCAGTCTGCATTCTTTCTGGGGGAACAACAGTGCAAAGCCGTATATTTAGAGTTTGACAACTAGAGAAGAGATGCGCACGAAAAGGAAAGCATGCTTTGGTAGACCTCCTCCTCCTCCAACAATTAAGCCACTAAATGAAACAACTCAAGTGATAACATTAGGAATAACAGATCGTTAAAAAGGGAAGTGACAGGAGGAGATGTAGCAAACCTGCAGCATGGTGCTTGAGCAGAGAGCCAAAGGAACAGTCTTTTAGCCTTTGGTGGGGAAAACACAGCCTACTCTTCAACAGATGTAGCATATTAATCCTTCTGACCAGTGTGAGTTCTCTCTCTCTTCTGTCCCAGGTTGCTGAATCTACCAGTGGTTTAAGAGCTGACCACATTTCTTTTGGGCTATTGAATTGTTTAAAAGATTTTCAGGTTCCAAATATTCCTTAGATCTCTGGAAGAAGATGAGATGATCGATCAGGAGACTGTGGTCAGCACGAAGATGTGAGTGAATAGACAAGTGCCATGGTAGCAATAGAAAGAGGTAAGCAGATCTAGCTTCTCTGGAAGGTTCCCATTGACTTCAATGGGCATTGGATGTGGCCCCAAGAAGAAGGGAAAGCACGCTGACCTATTTTCTCTCAATGCAGTAGCTATTAAAGGTCCTCTAATGTTTGTTTCTTTTCACTGGGCAGTATAAAAGATTGTCAAATTACAAATATTTCTTTTAACAAAAAATGCCTGGCAGCTGTTCTACAGATGTTATGAAAACCAAAGAAATGACCTAGCAGAAATGTATTGATATCATTCTCCATTAATCGAATCTTGCAAGCTACTAATATGATTATTGTTTTGGTAGCATATTCCCTGAAACAGTCACAAATGGGTACACAATAAGATTACAAATGTACATAGCACAATACTGCTAATGCCATCAAGCCTGCTGAGCCACTTAGAAATCTTATTTTGCTTTTCTACGCCATTTAAAACCAGGTAATAACTCAGATGATGAAAAACTAGAGTGGCATAGGGAAATTTCTCTGTTACCACATGGGCCATTTTCTATTCTCTTGTAAGGTAACTTTTATTCTTAAAGAGGTTCCATTTACCTGTCCGGTGTACATTGTATAGGCCTCCATCTTTTCACAATTATTATTTACAGTAGTCCCTGCTGAGTGCTCTCTAAACCTTTGGGGTGCATTTGAGAAAACCTGGTCCCTGACCCTGGAAGCTCACACTCTAAGGAATTCATAAGATAAGTCACTGAGCTTTATTTCTTTGTACCAATTTATTCGATGACACCATATTGTATTAATTAATGTGATTATTAGAGCTGGTTGGAACATTTTCAAGGAATCGTTTTTCATCAGAAAATGCGGGGCGGGGGGTTCAGAATGGAAATGTTCTACAGGAATGTGCAAATTTTGAGAAAAATGTCAACAAAGTGTTGAAATCATTTCAACTTTCTGAATTTGTTTTGATAATGTTATGTTTTGTTTTTATAAGGTAACCATTCCATTTTTACCTTATTGTTTTGTTTCATTTTGGCATTTATATTACAATATTTATTTTAACATCATATTATATTATGTTAAATATTGTTATAATGTTTAGACATTAAAATTAAACATTTTTATCTCATTGTAATGAAATATTTTGAAATAATTGAAATACAATGTTTCAATATTTCCGAATTCAAAATTTTCAGAATTTTCATTCCATGATAAAATTACAGATTTTGAAATGTTGGCATTTCTTAAAGGGTGGAAATTATTTTCTCTCCAATTCTAGTAATTTTTCTTCCCACCATGTCTATCTTTTCAAGTTATCATACAAAAAATTATATTGTTTTTAAGAATGGGATTTAATACTATACTGCTGCCTTCTGTACTATGTTTGTTTAAACAAAATATAGAGAGAAGATTGAATCATAAGATTCAGGTCCAGATTTGTAGCTTTCCAAAGTTTGGGAGTGTTCAGATTGAGATTTAAGGTTTTTAGACCCTTCTGTAAAATATAGGAGGGAATTGCTAGTAACTTTTTTGGATGTAGGGTTAAATAATTCTTATTGCAAAACCAGGATATTTTCGAAAAAAGGACGTCATCACAGCTGACAGCAAGCATTTTTTTCTTCCCCAACAGCTAATACCTACCCATTCAGATAAACAGAACTAACGAGACTATTTTCAGTAATGTCAATGACATTAAACAATGTATACGTATTTGTTGCCAAGAAAAAAAATAAGGAAATAATTAGCATTAATTGCTTAAGCAATATGATTCTTTATGGCAGCTACAATATTTAGGAAATTATATATAGACTAAACAAAGTTTTTATAAATCTCTGGGACACCAGAGGAAAAATGATCTCATAAAATTTCATTGGAATTCCTTTTAGCTAAGATCAAATATAAGTATTAGTCCAATATGACTCCTATTGGGAGCACCACATCTTGCCCTTGCAAGAAGACGTACTTGGTGTTCTTAGCTCTTTTTTCCATCTGTCAGTAAAAGCTGACTGACAGACAGCAAGCATTGTGTCTCTCTTTCCTACCCTTTATTCAGGAGGATAGAGGTAGAGGTGGGAGGGATGATTTGGAGAAGGAATAAATGAGAAGAATGTAGAAATTTGGCAGTAGAAGAAATTAATATTCATAGTAAATAGTTGAATTATGTAATGGAGACACAAGAATAATGCATCTACATCTTATAAATTACTAAAGAAAATAAATCCATCCCATATTGATAAATTGCAGTATCCTAAAGTGAACCCAGTCAGCTGAATGTTCTGATAGCCAAGCAGCCGTTGGCCCCTTCTGCATTATCTCACATAGGTTTGCAGTCACAGTTTTCTAATTAGACATCTGAACTCTAAATAAGCCTACATAACCTTCCTTGTTCTAAGGGGCCATCTGCACCATGGACCCAGAAATCAGTGGGATTTAAACATTTGCTTAAATGCTTAACTGAATCAGGACCTATAAAACCACTATGCTGGGGAACCAAATTGCAATTCATGTTTATATCAGAACTCAGTCTTGTGTTATGGATAGTCTCCTCCCTCCCATCCTATTTTAATTTTGACCCATTACTATAGTTTTGATGTGACCAAAGCTGCAGCAGTTTTGGGGATGTGATGAGGTCCCCTGTATACAATGTGATAGAAACGTGGTTTAATTATTTTGGGGGACAGCTATGTTTGTAACAGTGGGCCCAGGGGGTTGAACCTACATGGTCTTGTCAGGCAGACTGCACAGTGCCATCATTCTAATATCTGGTACCATAAAATCTTCCTGTTTTCAGTGATGTTCACAGCCCACTTCCAAATGTGTGAAATTGTTGTAATAAAATGCAAACACGTGGAAAACATTTGAGGAGAATGAGGGTTAGATGTTTCTCTGATCAGTAGATTCATTGACAATCTTGGTTGTCTTTCATTAGCACAATTATGTATGTCAGGGAAGACAATATATCTTCTATAGAAAGGAGAGAAAAGGATGTTGCCAAAAGAACCTCCTCATACTGTCTGGTATTTATGGAAGTCTGCCAGATAATAGCTTCTAATCCACATTCTGTAACTATATATGCGCCTAAATTCTTGAGAAGATAATCAGATGTCCCACTATGCCTGGGATAGTCTAAGAGATTGCTGACCTTATCACTTTTTTTCAGTAGGGGAGTGGGAGTGGGTGGTGGGAAAATGAGGGCTCCTGCTGACTTCTCCTACAATATAAAAGCTCTGCTTTTAATGGAAAGTTGCCAGAAAACAGCTCATTCTGTGTAGCCCAAGTTCCTTAAAAGAAGAGCTGAAAATACCAGATGCTCCAATTTGTCTTGGATTTTCTCATAGCTGCTAACATTGGTGTTCTGCTTGGTGGAGGTTTAATCAAATAAGGGCTGGACTGTGCCTTCCGAAATCCACATGCAGATACCATCCCCCCTCAGCCCTGATCAAAATGAATAGGCCAGCAGGCAGCGCTCTCTGCACTAGATTCCACAGAAAGCCATGCCAGGGAAGAGCTGGGTGCGGTGTCACGGAATGCAGCACAAACATGGTCCCAGCACATCCCTTCTCACTCCTGACACACCCGCTATTCTGAGAGTTTGGGAGAGGGAAGCAGGCAGCCAGTGCAGGGTAGAGCTGACTAGAAAAAGGAATCTGTTTCCATGAAAAATGTGTGGTTGACAAATGTCATCCTGAACCAGGATGAAATGTTCCAATGTGAAATATTTCGCAGAGAGGGTTTTAAAGAAAAATTCTATTCTGGAAGAACTAAAATGCAATTTTTCAGCTTCTCGGCTGCCCACCGGGACAGCTGCTGTCATTTAGGAAAAGGGTAAGAGCCTGGCTGCCAGAGAGGCAGAGAGCCTGGACGCTCAGCTTCCCCTGCAGCTCTGGGAGCTAGAGAACCCAGGTGCTTGGCCTCCCTTCCCCGCTCTGGGGCTGGAAAGGCAGAGAGCCCGAGCACTCAGCCTTCAAACCCCTCCACAAAAGATTTTTTCAGTGTTACTGGCAGAAAGTTAAATTGATGAGCCTCCCTGGGGGCAGCCAGTGAGCCGTTATTTTTATTTTACCCAACAGAAAATCACAATTTTTTTGAAAAACTGAAATTTTCTTAATACAGGGGCTCGGCTCTGGAATACTTGCGCCAGATGACACAGACGACTCAAGAATTGCACCATCAGGTAAAACAGACTCCTGTGAGGATTGGCTGGAATCAACACTAGATACTGCAATGACATTTAAAATATACCTGTCCTTGGCATCAGTTGCTTGCTCACATAAAAAGAAAGTCTTAAGCACCTAATCTGTCCTTGATAGCGGATTTGAGTCTGGAAAAGTGCTGGTAGACCGTTGTTGAGCTGTACCAAAGACATCAACATTCTTTAGGTTACTTTCAAGGTATACCTTCTGTATTTTTTGATCTAATATTATGCTGTGTCTTGTTTTTAAAAAATGCTTCCTGCAGGCAGAGTGATTAAAATGGTGTTCCTGTTGAGCTAGGGATTTCACAAACTAGTTTTGGACAATCTGCTGTTTTTTAGCAGTACTTTCTTCAAATTTTGAAAGCTAGTCAACCATAAAAGTGTATAGAAATTTTAAGATGTTGATAATAATTATTTATTCATTATTTGTATTACAGTAGTGCCCAGCCAACATTAGTGGCCTTTTGTGCCGTTTGTGCAAACACACATGCCCTGATCCAAAACCCATTGAAATAAATGGAAGAATTTCCATTGATTTCAAATAGCTTTGGATCAACCCATAGTAAAGAGACAATCTCTAACCCGTATAATGTACAGTCTGATTAGACAAGAGAGGTACATTTTTGCAAATATCTATATATGATGTAATAACATATTACTTCTGTATTTTTCTAAATCTGATATAATGAAATATGTCATCAAATGGTGCCTGTATCAGTTATCTTCACCATCACTTTGATACACACACACATTGTTTATGAATTTATAAAATAAATAACTATCAATAGGATTTATATGTTCTCAGTAAATTCTGTAATAATAATTTAACACATAAAAGCGTTCTTCCCACATTGAAAGTGGTACATTGACTTTAATCAGTCTCCACAACATAAAAAGGTTCCAATTTTAAGTGTGTTTTTATTGTGGACAATGTTTGTTGCTTATTTCTTGACATGTAGTAAAATATATTTCTCTTCCCAATAGACCTTCTAACGTTCCCAGTGGCTAAAGCAGGACAGGTCCTACCCATCAGGGAGCTGGTACTGGCTGCTGCCCCAGGGGAGTGGGAGATCCGGGTTGCAGCAGTGAGTTGTAGAGCAAGCCTGCCTTGCACTCATCCTGCAGTGGCAGCTCCTGTCCTATGAGGCTGGCTAAGGTCTACTCCAATGTTCTGAGCTCTTGCTGCTGGGCACAGGGATGGGAGGGGGGATGATTAGGAGGAGTCCAAAATGAAATGAAATTTTAAATTGAAACTAAGTGAATTTTGTTTTCAAATCAACAAATTTATTTAATTTCAGAATGCAAATAAAAAACAATGTGTTTATATTCTCCCAATTGGAAAATTGAAAAATGTCATCAGCATAGATATTTTCTCATGGAAGTGGAAATTTTCAAGTTCAATTTACCTTTTTTGACATGAAAATTTAGAATTTTTCAATCTAAACCAGCTGTATCCCTCACATGTTAATCACAGCACTGTTGTACAGCCACCCACGTGCCTGGGAACTGGATTTGGCTTACACTGAATGTTCTGCAGCTGTCTATTTTTGCACGACTAATACAGATTGATATAATTTACACACTTTTAGAAATTCCACTGCAGAATTTGCTGCAATGTCCCTAATGGGTGACAATGAAGCAGGTGGGGGCAAGTGAATTTCAGTGAATTCATATCTGAGCATGTCTTTAAAAGACCAATGAGACATGCCTACATTCAGATTCTCATAATAGCTTCAGAGATGGTTTCAAAATCAGATCTTTTTAATGTACTTACACAGTTCAAGGCAATGTTGCCAACTCTCACAGTTTTTACACAAGTGATGTGATTTGGGCTGGGGCTGGGGCTGGAGCCAGTCTTATGATGGGAGAGAAGTTTCAGCCCTCTAGCACATGTGAGCCCTCTGATTGGCTGTCTGATCCAATTCCCATCTCCTGGAAGAGCTTTCTTCTCCCCACAGCCCCGGTAGCATCTAATATTTTGATTTTACAATGTCTTTGGTTGTAATCGTATAGTCTCTGCAGCCACCTAGTGGACAGTCCAGACATATTCACTGAGGATCGTACAAGGGAGAAGGAGTGGGGACCTTTCTTTCTGTAATAAGCTTGACACACAGTGACAGAAATATTGGCAGAACCAAACCAAAACACCTAACTTTATTTCCTTGCCACAGTCACCTGACTTTGATCAGGATCACAAAGGTGAATACCCTTGTCAGATGGGTCAGTATTTACTGACTGTTGTAACTACTGTTACCATAAACTTCTAATACCAATTTCTTCCATAGCAGCACATTGACTCTTGAAACTCAGTCATTACTCTTGAGCTAAATCTTTGACAGACCTTGTAAAGCTTATCTATTTCTTTTAAATTGATCCAAACTAACCTGAGTTATAAATTTTCATCTCCTTCCCTTTCTCTGACACATTCTTTCTTTCTTTCTTCCTTCCTTCCTTCCTTCCAGTTCAGTCAGTTTGCTTTGATTCATATATCCAACCTTCTCTTTCTTCTAACTGCTGCTCCCCATCCCAACCTCCAGCAAACCATGCTCATAATTTCTCTCCTAACCCTCTGTTACAGGATAGGTTTAAGATAAGGCCTGGGTCCAACTTATCTCTTCTCCAAGTGCTGCCTTACAAAAACAGGCATTCTGGAATTTGTAGTCCCCCAGAGGATCATACAACTACAGCCTACAAAAAAGTCTGCAGGGAAAAGGGACCAGCCTGTAAAATAGCTGCTTGTTGCTAAGTGTAGGTAAAGGCCCAGAGACACCTGAAGGGAAAGAGCTCTGGCTGTTTTGTCTATCCTAAAAAGGAGCCAGGGAGCTGGGCTGTGACCAGAAGTTGAGAGAGGGCTGGGGAGAAAACATAGAATGATCGCAAGTGGGGCACTCTAGTAAGTGGTCCTGGGAAGCAGAGAAGCAGGGCAGCATGGAGAATGAGTGTTGACAGCTGCCCAAGTGTAGTGGGTGGGACATTCTGTACCTCAGGGGAGCGCCCTGTAACCCCCATATTCCTCATTTATACATGACTGTGATCTTATATATAAAGCATGCCATGTGAGGTATCAGGGGAAAGGTTATGATCTGCTGAAAGTCATTTCTCTATCCATATATGTCTATCATTAATGCATATGAAGTTATGAGAATTATGTTGTATGGTGGTCACTAAAACATGCTGTAAATTGGGGAATCAGCCAGATATTAGCTCCCCAGAGGCAACAGCAAGGAAAGTAGCCAACACCCAGGCGGGGTGTTAAACAACCTATCAACAACCATTGTCCAGCAAGGGAGCTGCAATTCAATGACTCACCTGCATGAGGCCACACCAGAGGAATTGCTTAGCCTTGCCTGGAGACTCAGCAATGCACCCAGAAATTTGTATTTGTATGAAGAAATTTAGGATGGAAGAATCCCATGCATTGCTACAGACTAGGGACTGAGCAGCTAGGCAGCAGTTCTGCAGAAAAGGACCTAGGGGTTACAGTGGACGAAAAGCTGGATATGAGCCAGCAGTGTGCCCTTGTTGCCAAGAAGACTAGCATCATTTTGGGCTGTATAAGTAGGAGCATTGCCAGCAGATTGAAGGACGTGATCATTCCCCTCTATTCGGAATTGGTGAGGCCTCATCTGGAGTACTGTGTCCAGTTTTGGGCCCCACACTACAAGAAGGATGTGGAAAAATTGGAAAGAGTCCAGCGGAGGGCAACAAAAATGATTAGGGGGCTGGAGCACGCGATTTATGAGGAGAAGCTGAGGGAGCTGGGATTATTTAGTCTGCAGAAGAGAAGAGTGAGGAGGGATTTGATAGCTGCTTTCAACTACCTGAAAGGGGGTTCCAAAGAGGATGGATCTAGACTGTTCTCAGTTGTACCAGATGACAGAATTAGGAGTAATGGTCTCAAATTGCAGTGGGGGAGGTTTAGGTTGGATATTAGGAAAAACTTTTTCACTAGGAGGGTGGTGAAGCACTGGAATGGGTTACTTAGGGAGGTGGTGGAATCTCCTTCCTTAGAGGTTTTTAAGGTCAGGCTTGACAAAGCCCTGGCTGGGATGATTTAGTTGGGGATTGGTCCTGCTCTGAGCAGGTAGTTGGACTAGATGACCTCCTGAGGTCCCTTCCAACCCTGATATTCTATGATTCTATGAAGTGTGTGGCAAATCTGCTCAGGTTTTGCAAAGGCTGGTGTGTGTCCATTTTCCACTGTTGAAGTGGTAAACCAATTAATAAATATGCTCTGCTCATCTTGAGCAGTGCAAGACAGTATATTGCTGAGGTACAAGGCTGGGAGCAGGGGGGATTTGGCTCTGTTGCCTTTCTCTGTGTGATTTATGAGTGGCTCTGGAAGCATTCATGCAATCTAGCTGGGTGTGAGGTTTCCACATGCTGCTGTGCTGAGTGATAACACCTGGAGGGATTTCATAGAATCATAGAATATCAAGGTTGGAAGGGACCTCAGGAGGTCATCTACTCCAACCCCCTGCTCAAAGCAGGACCAATCCCCAATTAACTCATCCCAGCCAGGGCTTTGTCAAGCCTGACCTTAAAAACTTCTAAGGAAGGAGATTCTACCACCTCCCTAGGTAACGCATTCCAGTGTTTCACCACCCTCCTAGTGAAAAAGTTTTTCCTAATATCCAACCTAAACCTCCCCCACTGCAATTTGAGACCATTACTCCTTGTCCTGTCCTCTTCTACCACTGAGAATAGTCTAGAACCATCCTCTTTGGAACCACCTCTCAGGTAGTTGAAAGCAGCTATCAAATCCCCCCTCATTCTTCTCCTCTGTAGACTAAACAATCCCAGTTCCCTCAGCCTCTCCTCATAAGTCATGTGTTCCAGACCCCTAATCATTTTTGTTGCCCTTCGCTGGATTCTCTCCAATTTTTCCACATCCTTCTTGTAGTGTGGGGCCCAAAACTGGACACAGTACTCCAGATGAGGCCTCACCAATGTCGAATAGAGGGGGACAATCACGTCCCTCGATCTGCTGGCTATGCCCCTACTTATACATCCCAAAATGCCATTGGCCTTCTTGGCAACAAGGGCACACTGCTGACTCATATCCAGCTTCTCGTCCACTCTCACCCCCAGGTCCTTTTCTGCAGAACTGCTGCCTAGCCACTCGGTCCCTAGTCTGTAACGGTGCATTGGATTCTTCCGTCCTAAGTGCAGGACCCTGCACTTGTCCTTGTTGAACCTCATCAGATTTCTTTTGGCCCAATCCTCCAATTTGTCTAGGTCCCTCTGTATCCTATCCCTACCTGCCACCGTATCTACCGCTCCTCCTAGTTTAGTATCATACACAAATTTGCTGAGAGTGCAATCCACACCATCCTCCAGATCATTTATGAAGATACTGAACAAAACCGGCCCCAGGACCGACCCTTGGGGCACTCCACTTGATACCGGCTGCCATCTAGACATGGAGCCATTGATCACTACCCATTGAGCCTGACAATCTAGCCAACTTTCTACCCACCTTATAGTGCATTCATTCAGCCCATACTTCTTTAACTTGCTGACAAGAATACTGTGGGAGACCGTGTCAAAAGCTTTGCTAAAGTCAAGAAACAATACATCCACTGCTTTCCCTTCATCCACAGAACCAGTAATCTCATCATAGAAGGCGATTAGATTAGTCAGGCATGACCTTCCCTTGGTGAATCCATGCTGACTGTTCCTGATCACTTTCCTCTCGTGTAAGTGCTTCAGGATTGATTCCTTGAGGACCTGCTCCATGATTTTTCCAGGGACTGAGGTGAGGCTGACTGGCCTGTAGTTCCCAGGATCCTCCTTCTTCCCTTTTTTAAAGATGGGCACTACATTAGCTTTTTTCCAGTCGTCCGGGACTTCCCCCGATCACCATGAGTTTTCAAAGATAATGGCCAATGGCTCTGCAATCACAGCCGCCAACTCCTTTAGCACTCTCGGATGCAACGCATCCGGCCCCATGGACTTGTGCACGTCCAGCTTTTCTAAATAGTCCCTAACCACTTCTTTCTCCACAGAGGGCTGGCCACCTACTCCCCATGCTGTGTTGCGCAGCAGTCTGAGAGCTGATCTTGTTCATGAAGACAGAGGCAAAAAAAGCATTGAGTACATTAGCTTTTTCCATATCCTCTGTCACTAGGTTGCCTCCCTCATTCAGTAAGGGGCCCACACTTTCCTTGGGTTTCTTCTTGTTGCCAACATACCTGAAGAAACCCTTCTTGTTACTCTTAACATCTCTTGCTAGCTGCAGCTCCAGGTGCGATTTGGCCCTCCTGATTTCATTCCTACATGCCCGAGCAGCATTTTTATACTCTTCCCTGGTCATTTGTCCAATCTTCCACTTCTTGTAAGCTTCTTTTTTATGTTTAAGATCTGCAAGGATTTCACTGTTAAGCCAAGCTGGTCACCTGCCATATTTACTATTCTTTCAACATATCGGGATGGTTTGTCCCTGTAACCTCAATGGGGATTCTTTGAAATACAGCCAGCTCTCCTGGACTCCTTTCCCCCTCATGTTATTCCCCCAGGGGATCCTACCCATCAGTTCCCTGAGGGAGTCGAAGTCTGCTTTCCTGAAGTCCAGGGTCCGTATTCTGCTGCTTACCTTTCTTCCCTGTGTCACGATCCTGAACTCGACCAACTCATGGTCACTGCCTCCCAGATTCCCATCCACTTTTGCTTCCCCTACTAATTCTTCGTGGTTTGTGAGCAGCAGGTCAAGAAAATCTCTCCCCCAGTTGGCTCCTCCAGCATTTGCACCAGGAAATTGTCCCCTACATTTTCCAAAAACTTCCTGGATTGTCTGTGTGCCGCTGTAGTGCTCTCCCAGCAGATATCAGGATGATTAAAGTCGCCCATGAGAACCAGGGCGTGCGATCTAGTAGCTTCTGTGAGTTGCCGGAAGAAAGCCTCATCCACCTCATCCCCCTGGTCCGGTGGTCTATAGCAGACTCCCACCACTACATCACTCTTGTTGCTCACACTTCTAAACTTAATCCAGAGACACTCAGGTTTTTCTGCAGTTTCATACCGGAGCTCTGAGCAGTCATACTGTTCCCTTACATACCGTGCTACTCCCCCACCTTTTCTGCCCAGCCTGTCCTTCCTGAACAGTTTATAACCATCCATGACAGTACTCCAGTCATGTGAGTTATCCCACCAAGTCTCTGTTATTCCAATCACGTCATAATTCCTTGCCTTCACCAAGACCTCCAGTTCTCCCTGCTTGTTTCCAAGGCTTTGTGCATTTGTATATAGGCACTTGAGATAAGCTGCTGATCGCCCCTCATTCTCAGTATGAGGTAGGAGCCCTCCCCTCACAGACGTTCCTGCCTGTGCTTCCTCCCGGTATCCTGCTTGCCCACTTACCTCAGGTCTTTGGTCGCCTTCCCCCGATGAACCTAGTTTAAAGCCCTCCTCACTAGGTTAGCCAGCCTGCTCGCAAAGATGCTCTTCCCTCTCTTCGTTAGGTGGAGCCCGTCTCTGCTCAGCACTTCTCCTTCATGGAACACCATCCCATGGTCAAAGAATCCAAAGCCTTCTCTCCGACACCACCTGCGTAGCCATTCGTTGACTTCCACGATTCGACGGTCCCTACCCCGGCCTTTTCCTTCCACGGGGAGGGTGGACGAGAACACCACTTGTGCCTCAAACTCCTTTATCCTTCTTCCCAGAGCCACGTAGTCCACAGTGATCCGCTCAAGGTCATTCTTGGCAGTATCATTGGTGCCCATGTGGAGAAGCAGGAAGGGATAGATCTGATGGCTTGATGAGTCTCTTTGTTTGCTGGTCACTAGCAAGGTATTGTTAGAGACATCCCAGGCTGGAGAGAGTTCAGGGGGCACAGCGGTTCCACAGTCCCAGACTGCACGCCGGGGATCCCGTGACTCTGGGTTTCCAGACTGGACCATGGTAGGAGAAAAACGCTTATTGGCTAACCCAGTGGTGCATAATCTAGGTATGCAAGGAATGCATTGCGTGCCCTACATGGCTGTACATTGTCCAGCTGGAAAGTTCTGTCCGGCCCCCATGGAGAATGCCATCCTCTGCACAGCATGAGCTCACGTGCACTCTACTTGTCTGCATTTTGCAAAAATGTGACCCATTACCAAGACCAGATGACTCCTTTCAGTGTATCTTCAGTTTTTCACTCCCAGTACAAGTCTGCAAGGCACTCAAATTACCACTATTTAGATAGATAGTTTTTATTCATCTTATAGCCCAGTCATACTAGATAGGATCTGTAAAACACTGATGGGGCATCTAAAATGCAAGCCCCACTGCTTTTTCAGCCATTTTCAAAGAAGTTCTCTATTTCCCTCTGAGGAACTGGCTCCCCTACAAGCATTGTGTTGGACACCTCTGGAAATAATTTAGTTGCTCAAGAAAAGATTTCACAAATCTTGCTCATTAGGGAACTCTTCAGGTGTCTCCTCCCTGTAGGCCACTGGTCAGATGGTGACCTCTGTGGAAACTGTTCCATGATGATGTAGGGCCCCCGCACTCTATACACTTTTTTGGTTTATCAAAGGAATGTTCTGAATCAAGAAACAGATTATAGTCTGCACCATCCAGGGAGCTCAAGGCAAATAGCTGTCTCAAGAATCTCATCACAACAACTTCCTGTAGTGGCAAGCAGTTAAACAAAGGATTTTTCTCTCTCCTCCTAAGATTCCCTTTGGCTCTGGTCACCATTGAAAGTGACAACAGAACTTCTATGGCATAGTGGTAATGCCAGCGATGAACAAAAAAGCGCCCCAAAAATCCTAATTGAAGCCAGGATCTCCTGGATCAAGAAACTGTGTTACTTCCTTCCTTTATTTATTGTGTGTCACTTTCTAAACACTCAACAAGTATGATCCCTGTTAAAAGCATCTCACAACAAAAAGTATCTAATGACCAAACCAATTACATTTAGGCAAAAGAGCAAGACTGGTTGACTGACTAAGCAGCTGATGGTTGGATACAGGAGAATGAGATCTAAATTAGTGAGTTATTGAGTAGTTATCAGAAATGTAAAGACCCTGTCACTCATGGTTTTCCAGATTCCTACAGATGTCAGTTCAACTCTTTCCAGTGGGAGCTTCTACGCCAGGGCCCTCTCAAGCACTCACGCGTTGAGCACCTGAAGCTCTCGGCATGGAACCTGAGGGGTGTACCCTCCTTAAGTGTGGTTACTACAGAGAGCTTGTCAAGGTTCCTTCCCCACTCTGAACTCTAGGGTACAGATGTGAGGACCTGCATGAAAGACCCCCCAAGCTTATTCTTACCAGCTTAGGTTAAAAACTTCCTCAAGGTACAATTTTGCCTTGTCCTTGAATCCTATGCTGCCACCACCAAGCGTATTAAACAAAGAACAGGGAAAGAGCCCACTTGGAGATGTCTTCTTCCCCCCGCCCCCCAAATATCCCCCCAAGCCCTACACCCCCTTTCCTGGGGAAGGTTTGATAAAAATCCTCACCAGTTTGCATAGGTTAACACAGACCCAAACCCTTGGATCTTAAGAACAATGAAAAAGCAATCAGGTTCTTAAAAGAAGAATTTTAATGAAAGAAAAAGTAAAAGAATCACCTCTGTAAAATGAGGATGGTAAATACCTTACAGGGTAATCAGATTCAAAACATAGAGAATCCCTCTAGGCAAAACCTTAAGTTACAAAAAGACACAAAAAACAAGAATATACATTCCATTCAGCACAGCTATTTTACCAGCCATTAAACAAAAGAAAATCTAATGCATTTCTAGCTAGATTGCTTACTAACTTTTTACAGGAGTTCTGAAGAGCATTCCTGATCTGTTCCTGGCAAAAGCATCACGCAGACAGACAGAGCCTTTGTTCCCCTCCCCCCCCCCCAGCTTTGAAAGTATCTTGTCTTCTCATTGGTCATTTTGGTCAGGTGCCAAGTCAGGTCAGCGAGTTTATCTTAGCTTCTTAACCCTTTACAGGTGAAAGGGTTTTGCCTCTGGCCAGGAGAGATTTTATAGTTCTGCATACAGAAAGGTGATTACCCTTCCCTTCATATTTATGACAGAGCTCATGGACTGTCTGCTCACACGTAGGAAACCATCCTGTAATCTGGGCATTTCAAGAGATTCTGAGATCTTGGTCCTTGAAAGGACCAAAAAACCCTGTTTGTTTCAGGACCAGGGATATACTAGAGTTCCTTCGATTATAGGTTTTGACTTGGTCTGAGCTCTTGCTTCCTGAACATCCAATGTTCAATGTTAGGAGCAATGTGGCCTATTTCTTCCCGTTCTGGTTGGTTGGTTGGTTGATTAGTTGTTAATTTGTTTGGTGATTGTTGCATCCTCACATTCCTTTGTTCTTCAAAGTTGTGTCCTGCAGACCAGGAGACCACTCAAACAATTTGATGCCACAATCCACCACCAAAAACTACCTCTTGATTGTTGTGGGATAGGCTGCTACATCCTTCATCTCTTTCCATCACCACCACCTTTTCTTTGGCTAATCAAGGTAAAATAGAATGCCTGGAGATTTGTAAAATATTAACCATGACTATTTATCAGAATATATAGTTTTGTCTTCTGGGCCATGGTCATTGACTGAGAGCTGGAGATGTAATCAGTATTCTGAACAGCATCCTTGCTGGCATTTCACTGAGAAGCTGGAAAAAGAGAACCTAGTTAAAATGGACCAGAAAGCACCAGAAAGCACCCGCTTCAGAGCATTATGGGTAGGAAAGGAAACTTTACCTTTCAAAGTCATTTGATTCATAACTGATCTGTAATTAATCATGTTCATTTTAAATACTTTAGAAAAATATTGCAATTATGGGATGCCATCCCAAATAAGAGAGGCTAAATGCCTTCCAGATTCCAACTGCTTTCTCACTGTGTATGTCTGGATTAAGCTAATGTGTTTCCTTCTGTGGGAAATGGATGTTGCTAATCTCACTGATATAGTTGCTTCATATTAGATCATGTTACAGATTCTAAATCAGATTACGCCAGAAAATCAGATTAGTTTCTGGTTTTTAAACAAAGGAGCTGAATGTGTGTATTTCTGAATTTGTTGTGTTACAGCTCTTGTCTGCTTTCTCTACCCAAGAGAAAACAGGCATTCAACATTGCATGTATCCCTGTACAAAATTTTAGTAGAGTAGATTTTCTGTATCAAATGGATAGTGGATTAAAGTCACAGTCTGGGAGAGAGGGGTTCAAAATGCTCTGCCACTATAACAACATCTAAAGAAGCTAAAAGTTTCATTCACCTTCTGAGCACACTGCCATAAATATTTTGTATAATGTACAGTTTGCACTCCAGCCCTGCTTTATACTCCTCGTCATCACTCACGACAATCTGCCATCATAGGCAAAACTTCATTATGCCCTTCACCACTCTCACTCACCCCTAGAACAGAGGTTTTCAACCAAGAAGAAATGTTCCCCCAGAAAATCTGCGGGGGGTGGTACAACAAGCCTGCTGACGGTTAGTGGTTATGACAGAAATGGGGGAGGAAGCAGGTACCAGGTTGTAGCCTGGTTTGGCCCTGCCACCTCTACATCACACACCTTTTCTACACTGAGTATATATTATTATAATTTATATATTTTATAGATCTGTACTCCAAAGAGCTTACCAATGTCCTCCATCAAAAGAGAGGGAAGTCAGGATCTGATATTCTTAATATTTCACTAAGAAAAACTTTTTGAAGAGAAAATGAGGCGCCTGTATACCTCATAAAATAACAGAAAAGGCCAATAAAATGTTATGGGGTGTGTGTTTGCTTTTGTTTTGTTTGTTCGCTTCATATTGAACATAAGCTCTAGTTCTGGTAGTTTTCCTTTGAACTAACTGCCCATTCTCTTTAGATGGCAAGTTTTAAATGCTTGTCTGACATTTAAAAGTTACTGGACGGTCACATGAATTTTTTTGTACAGTTAATATTTTTATCCTCTTGTCAGCCTAGCAGTGCATTTTGTACTGTAGAATTATATTGGATCTGTAAAATCATAGTTGGAGTCAGGCTGCTTGCTGCCAGTAACTTACAGAAAATGAGTAACGAGGGGAAATAGCTATATTTTAAAAAACTAAACTCAGGTTTATTGGTGTTTGAATTAATCATACATCATAGCAGGTATTTTATGTACAAAGAAATAATTTTACCACATGGTGGAGCTTTCTGCTTACTCTACAGGATCAGAGACTGTCAGATAGCAAAACAAGTTGCAGAGCAGCAGCCGTGTTAGTCTGTATTCGCAAAAAGAAAAGGAGGACTTGTGGCACCTTAGAGACTAACCAACTTATTTGAGCATAAGCTTTCGTGAGCTACAGCTCACTTCATCGGCTGCAAGTTGATTATTTCTCAGAATTGTTTATGTAGCTGACAGATTTGTACTCTAAGGACCTTCCCCAAATCCTCCAGTAAAAAGAGAAAAGTCAGGACCTGATAAAAATGTAGAATTGACTATGGAGACATATGCATCTGTGCCTTAATGAGAAGTCTTGGTGGCTTTTACACCAGCAAATATTTACATGGATAAAATGTTCTTTAGAAAATCTATCTGTGTATTTATTTATGAATTACAGCTGCCCATCACAGTAATATCTAAGTGCCAATCCTTCACAATCAATGGAGTAGAAGCATAGCCAGAGCTGTTTCTCATTGTGAAATGACTAATCAGCCCACACTTGGCTGGGGCAACATTTTTAGCCAACCCTTTTTTTATTGCAAAAAATTCAAAGTCACTAAACAGTTTAATTGTAAACAAAAAAGTCACAAAGAATTCTGAAAATATCTTAACTGTTTGTTTTGAATATTTGAGTCAAAATGACTTTTCATTTTGAAATGTCCTTGAAAAATTAAAAAAAAAACATTAAATTTAAAAGGTCAAAACATAATGAAATATTTTGTGAACTGATTTTTTTAAAATTTAAGTTTAAAAATTTAACTTTTTTTAAAATTTCAATGTTTTCTTTTGAGTCAAGCCAAAATGATTTTTTGAGTTTTCAGAACTGCAGTATTCACACTGTTCTACCTCCTGTACATAGCCCTGACATCAGACCCAAGCACTGACAGCTATGTAGAAAAATTAATAAAAATCTAAAAAACCAAAAACCATGCCCCAAGCAGAGGTGGTTGATTTCTACCACTGCAGATCATTGATGTCTTTACTATGGTAGATTTAACAGAAGATTCTGCAAAAAAAAGATTGCTTTTTTAAAAAAATGTGACCCAATTGTGGCATGTACCATGTCTTAAATAACTAGCTCACTTTCTCTGAGTAGGGTGTCTTAACTCTGATCAGGAGAGACCACCTCCAATAATTCCTTAGCTTTTCTGTTGATACTGATAACCAGGCCACATTTATGCTATGGACATTTGCATCCTGTGACAAAGAATCTGACTGCCAATTATTTCATATAAATTAGCGTATTCCAATGCCTTTCAAGCAGTTGGATCAAATCTGATACTCTGGCATAGAGAGGGAAGGCTCTATAAAATATTACCTGTTCTCTCAGCCATCCAACCCATTCATACATATACATTAATTTTTAAAAATAAAAGTTACATATATCTTTCACCGCGGTAGCTCCTTGAAATATAGCACACAAAATCACACCTTAAGAACAGCCTCCTCTTCTTCCCGACTCAATTTGCACAGCACCTGACTCATATCACATTGAGGGGAAAGGCTAAGGTCACTGCCACAGATGCAGATACATTGAAAAATAAATTGCTAATTCATCTTCATTAACAAAGAAGTCCTTCCAAAGTGGATGCAGAGGCAAACAGAGTATGTGGCATTTGCACAGATTTAGGAAATATCTGTGTTTGTAATGACAGAAGATTCATTGCATGATCATGGAGCTAAGGAAAATCGTTTAACTGGCAAAAATAAGACCAGAGGGCCAACTTTCACTATTTTTTTTTTTTGGTAGATTTGCTCATTGACATAATCTCATCACTTTAGTGCAGGGGTTCTCAAACTGAGGGTCATAACCACTTAGGGGGTTGTGAGGTTATTACATGGGGGTCACAAGCTGTCAGCTTCCATCCCTAAACCCCACTTATCCTCCAGCATTTATAATAGGGTTAAAAGTTTAAAAAATGTATTTTTAATTTATATGGGGGGGTCACACTCAGAGGCTTGCTGTGTGAAAGGGGTCACCAATACAAAGATTTGAGAACTACTGCCTTAGTGCTATGGGTGGCATTCCTGCTGGGCAATGAGTGCTAGTCACAAGGGAACTAATTACACACACAACATTGCACGTGTTACAGTTGTAGTCCATCTTTTAGCTTCTTTGTTTAAGGGAACAATGTATTCTAGTTTAGAATGCAAATTTCAGGGCTTGTCCACACACACAAATTGCACTGATTGAATTAAATCAGTTTCTAAACTGATTCACAGTTAAATTATGTGGGCACCTTAAACTGCTTACCAAATTAACCTACATCAATATTAGCTACTCTTAAATCAATTGAAGGGTATCAACACAAGAGCGTTGCACCGATTTAACTAAATGAAGTTAGAATTTGATTTAATTAAATCAGTACAGTTTGTGTGTAGATTAGATCTAGGTTTTATTTAAAAAGTAGGCTCCAGAGGGGGAGATGTCTTCTAAATCTTAACAAGAATAGTGAAGCTGTTTTAAACAATGTATATGGAAGTTACCATGATGTTGGAAGCCAAGAACAACAGAATTGCATGAGGGTAGCAGAAGCAGGAAATGATAACCATAAACAAAAAATGAAACTGACCAGTCTAGTTTTATAACTCAGTATTAGAGCTGGTCAGAGAAACTTTGAAGGAGTCATATTGCATAAGAATATACAGTTCTGTCCAAATCAAAAAGCTTCAGAAAATCAGGTCAATTTTGCTGGAATTTTGGTTTAATATTTTTTAATGTTCTGACAACATCCACATGTTCAGTTTCAATATTTTGGGAATGAAATATTTTGATTTCTTGTTTTGAATTTTTATTTTGCATTATGCCATAATACAACATAAAATAAAGTCTAAATCAATTTAATCAAAGTAAAACATTTTGAATAACCCAAAATTATTATTATTTTAAATTTTCCTTTGTGGAGAATTTTAAAGTTTTGAGGGTTTTTTCTTTTTTCTTTTTTCTTTTTTTTAGTTTTTGCTCTGATTTGGAATGAAGCCAGATTTCGACATTTCAAAATCCTTTGCGAAATAGAACTTTTGTCCTCTGCACAGCTCATCTCAACATACGTGAAGAGCAAAATGGTAACTAAAGCACCTAGATCGAGGACCATTACAGATGTTTCACTTACTGATATATCATTCTAAAATAGGGAAATATCACAAATACAGTAAACATAATAAACAGTAAAAGAGAAGTTAGTAAGTGTGCCCATTGTACTTTAGGAGGCTTTTACTGATGAAAGACATTCTGAGGTTAAAATAACAGAGATGCACAAGATTTAATTTATGAGACTCGCATTGATTTTAATACACTGCTTTGAAAATTTATACCTGACATAAGAAGACAATAGTCCATGCAAAATTACATGTTTATTTTCTCCTGCCCAAATCTGACCTGCACTCTCATTTATCCTATTGCAGGGTTTTGTAGCAAATGGAATTCATCCCCATTTCAGCCATCTTGGCTTTCTGGCTAAGATCATGTATATTATCAGTTTATTATCTGCTGTATCCTTCATTGGGAGACTTTTGCAAGGGGAATGGGGAGAACTTAGTGAGCTCTTAAATACCTGGAAACCAGGAAAAGAAAGCACCTATCTTTAACACAAGACTAGAAAAAACATTTGCATTACATATGTATCCCTTTTAAAATGTGTCCTCTTCATTTTAAAGGTCTTGCTTAATGAATTCCATGGTTATTTAATCATAAATGCAGACTCTTATATTGAAGTTATATCACCGCAAATTTTCACCATGCAAAATCTATTTTGGAGATATGAAATTTATTGCTAACCCTTGTTAATGCTGTTGTTTGTAGCACAGATCTCCCCTAATAACTTCTTTTAAATAAATACTATGTTAAGATAGGGTTAAATATTTTGCTGTACCTTGAAAGGTAAAATGGGAATGAATTAATTTGGAGCTCTTCCAAGGACAAAAATGTTGTTATACATCACTGTAATGTGCCTTCTGTTCAGATCAATCAAATCACATCCATTTGGACTACTCCAAAGTGAGATATAATTGTGTCTTTTCCTTTTGAGAATTATAAAAAAAAATTATGAGAAAATTTGTTATGCTGAAAAGTTAAAGGTGTGCTAATGGATTATCAAATGCCTCATTCAACCTTAGTGGAAATGTTTTCATTGGGATAACTCAATTTAATGCAGCATAATATTATTTGATGAAACATTTTGAAGTCCATATAATGAGGTTTAAAAGCAAAGAATGAAAGTCCCTTTGGAGCAGTCTGCTAACAGTGATCGTTGGAAATAGCCATAACCTTATAACTTTTTGGCTGTATGATGCGATAATAATATAATTCTGGAGCTGGGTGGTATAGTGATATATGCTTCATTTATACCCATTCTACCAAGTGACATTTATTGAAAACTGACTGTTGGACTGCTTTCCATGTCGGTTGCTATCCATCTGCCTTGGTGCTGCTGGAGATTGTAATTACATTTTGCTTCATTTCCTGTATAATTTATGTGAAAAATCCTTCAATGGCAGGGAAGTACAAAGCCCAGACATTGAGAACATGACACTGTGTAAGATTTAAGGTGGTTGTTTGGAACCGAAGATAGAAGTTGGCCATGACTCAAGCAATTTCAAGGTCATCCGGCATAGACAGAGCTCAAGCAATGCAGCAGTGTTGTGACTGTGAAAGCTAAAAATGTTTTGCTACTTCTATAAACATTGATCTTCTGTCATTCTTCTCAGAAATGAAGGTGTGTCTTATGGGGAGAGTAATTAGAGATTATTAATTTTGTTATGTCTAGTTACCAGGACATTTAGAGATTAGGATACTCAACGTGTAGAGTGATTAAAATGTTTTTCGTTCCAGAGTTTAACATTTTGTTACATTGTTTTATTAACCTCTCATAATTTTTTTTGGCTGTTTCTTGATAGGGCTAGCTATTTTTAAGAAATTAACAAGTATTTTTGTACCAAATGATTATCGGCTGGGTTTCTTTTTAGGAATTTTTTCTTCCTAAATCTTCATCCTTCAAGCTTCTCTCAGCACCACTCAGGTATAAGCTGTTACAGTCTCGAGATAATAAGCTGGGTTCATTTCTCCAGGAAAAAAACAAACCTCTCTTCAGCGGGTGCTTTAAAAATTGTTCAGTGTTTTTTGTCAGAAAATATAAGTTCTGTCTACTAATGACATTGCTGTTGATTTCCATAATGGCGTATGAATAGTAAAGGAAGGCAATCTGCAATATGTATTCATGATGTGTGTTTGGAGAGCATCTAGCCCTGATCCACAACTGGACTCCTAGGCTTTACCCACAATGTACATAATGAATAATAATAATAGCACTGTATACGATAAATAATGCTGGGCTAGATTTCCCTTTCTGAATTGCTAGGGCTGGATAACACCTCATTTGTAGAGAAATCATTTAATCACTAAATCACTTAATTCATTGTTGAAGGCCTTTTTAAATTGTGGTGCACTTTGCATATACTGAATTTTAATGCTGTGAAAATGAACTGACTTGCTGCTAAAATCAAGGACCACTGGCTGTGCGTATTGCGTAATGTCCCTTCTGCGTATCTGCTCAAGCCCATGGCTCCTGACCTGAAAGACGCTTCCTTAGCATGTCCAGATCTAAATTTCTCAGTCAAGCCAAAATGTTGTATGAGTTTGACGCAATTCCTTGTTAAGACGTTGTGCTACATCAGGTGTGAATAATTTCCAACACGATATGATAGAATACTGCCCATCATGTTAGAAATTAGAGACATGATTGAATCAACCCTCCTCCCCCAGGTCTGAATACCCCCAGATTTGTAGTGTTTGAAATCTGGAACTAGAATTTGAAAAAGCCCACTATGTTTATAGTAATTTCATCCAAAGGCATAGGTCTGAACACCTCAGAACTTTGAGATGAATGAAGCTTGAATCTAAATGTTGTGGGTTGGGCCCATCTCTATTTAAAATGTTACTAAAGGAGAAAGCTGGTAAAATCTGCAAGAATTATTTTATTAGTTTTTTCAGTGCATCTATTTTTCTTAGTTTCCTTTTTAAGACACCCAATGTCTCCTTCAGTAATACTTACCAAGGAAACAGGTTTTCACTTGATTAGCCAGGCATATGGAATGTTCTTCTCAAAAACCTTTTCCCAAAATATTCACTACAGACCCTTTAAAATTAAGCTTTTGTGCTTCATATTTAATGTTTCTTATCGATATTCCAGGACACTAGGATTCTAACAAGTCATTTTGCAATTGAAATAATTGGAATGCAAATTATATCATTTCATTTCGGAGCTGAAGTTGATTCTGCACATGTTATTTTTGAACCGTATAAAGACACACTCCCCCAACACAGTATTTCAGATTTATTGCAGAGCAGAGAGCATCCTCTATTGAATTAACCTAGATGATCATCATCATTTATGGGCCTGCCAGACTTTCTGTTGCGATTTACCACTTTCATTTTGTTGCATTTGATTGTGCTGTCATTATGTCATTTATTACATTGCAGCCGAGGCAGCTGACTGTACTTGCTCTCAGTATTGGATGATTTCCATCATCCCCATTATGCACGTGGTGGCTTAGGGCTTCACAAAAATATAATATTGGAAAACATTTTGAAATCCAAAGCACTGCAGAGTAAAAGGGGGATAGCTCTGACTCCGATAAACTGAATTTCTCTATGGGGCCTCTCAGACAAGGATCTCAAAGTGGCTTACAAATATTCAATGAATTAAACCCTAAATCTCATAACAGCCCTGTGTGGGATAAAGTATTATGCCCATTTTACCGATGAAGTGAAATGATTTGCCCATAGTTCAACAATAAAGCGGTGGTACAACATGGGTTAGAAACCAAGCCCCTAATCTAGCATGATGTACCATATGAATAAACCCCCTAAGTCTGTGCAGAGGCCAATTGAAGTTAATGGGGCTTCACACCGTGCAGGGGTCCACCCCACTGTATTTTTGAGGAAGCAGATAGTCAGCCAATGTTTATATTATTAGCAGTATAGTAGCACAGCTATGACTGTAGATGCATCTAACACCAACAGAAGGGGTTTTTTTCAACCCTGTAGGTAACCTACCTCCCTGAGCTGCAGTGGCCAGGTCGACGGAAACGTTCTTCCGCTGAGCTAGTCATGTCTACATCCGAGGTTAGGTTGGTACAACTACAGCACAGATAGGATAAAAACTGAACCTTGAACTGAACCACAACCAAACTTTCTGATGCTCAAACAGGTCTGGGTTAACTTCACCCCCCTCCCACGTTATCCTTTTCATTTCTGCAGGTCTCTACACTTCCTGGAGCTGGCCAGAAATGGGAAAAGACAACATTGCTAATTTCACGAGAGTCTGTTCTCACAAGCTTTCTAGGGAAAGTCTGCAAGTCAAGATATTCAAAGGGTAAGAAAACATCTAAATGTTTGGCTGTTTTTCCCAACCGCTGAATTTCTTAAGGTTTTTCCCCTCACGAATACGCTAATTATTTTTTTTTTCACTGCATCCTATGTCTGCCTTGTAATTGATTCATGTTAGCTAGGAAATAATTTAGTTAACATGCTTTCAATGAAGTCCCTGGTGAAATTAATATGTTTGTAATATACTTAACACATTGATGTGCTCTGAAGGACAGTCAGACTGGAATCAGGCAGAGTGGAATCTTATACTAAGTACCGCTTCTCTAATGGCAACAGTAGACTGCTTCTGGCAATAATGAATCAAGCTTTCTTATAGGTCATAGTTGCTCCTCTTCCCACCATAGCAGATGGTGCTGTAAGTCACAGAGCCCAGATTCTAACCCGTGGGGCCAAAACTAGGGCATATTCAGAGAAAGGTACTCACTTCCACTGAAACCCAGGCCACGTCAAAGTCTCTTCATTTTTAGCACAAGATGCAAGACTCCACTCTTTCTGCATGCCTTCTCCTCACAGCTACATTGTGGAATGGGCACAGCTGCATGCCCCAGAGAAATAAATCACCTGCATTACTTCTTTTTAAGTAAGTGGCTTTGTGATTGAGAGGGAGTGCTTGAAAACTGCAACCTTCTTAAATGAGGGACTTGATGTATTTATGGCATAAATTCATATAGGGCTAGACCCTGGCCTAACATCAAAGCCTGGCTCCAGTAGTCAGGCAGGCTGTGCCCTCATGACAGATCAGCAGTACACCCGCATGTATGAGGAGTGGGTGGGGCACCCCTACTTCAGCAGAAGTAGTAACCTCACCGCACTGGTTATTTATGGTGCATAGCTGTGCTGATTGCAAAGGGCCGTCTGTGGTCAGCCAACACACCTCACTCGAGGCCCTGCGTTACATCCGGGTAATTTGGTACAGCTGTCCCAGTCAGCACAGTTTGTTAGGGATGGCGGCACTGGCTACTGCTTGCTGGTGTCACACAATCGATAGAGAGGGAGTATTTGCAGTAGCAGTCCCGTTTGGTGCAGGCCTGTATCTCCGTTTGCAGTTCTGTCTGAGTGACAGTGCATGCCATCAGCAGGGCTAGATGTACTGCTGCCCAGTTTCTCCGGCGTGAGGCACATGTGCATTGGCTCCCTTCCTACTTGTGTACACAGAGCTTAGCCTTTGATAATAGGCTCAAAAATGCTCACATAAGTGGGGTCATGACTTAGCTTGTGGTGTTTTTCTAAATCTGATACACTTCTAAATTCTCGTTATGGCGTGTGACACCACAGAATTATGTACAATGACAGTCATGCAATTTATAAAAATAATCCCCTTCTGATTATGTGTTGGTGATCTTGGAAATTCATTTAACTAACCAGGAGCCTTTTAAACTGAAGTTCAGATTTTATGCATGATCTGAATGCAATATGGTAAATTGATGGGATTATTTCCCCGTGATCCAAGCCCATATCTCTCATTAATATCAGCAGGAAGTATGCGCATATGGCAATGGGAAAATGAAACCATTATTATTAAAGCTCTATTCAGATAATTTGTATGAGGATAATTCAGTCAGATTTTGGTCCAAAAGCTCAGTTTACCATCTCAGTGCAAAGTTAGTAGATTTAGAAACCTCATTGCTGTTCTCATTTCCATCCATGAAACTCTACTGACTTTTTTGGGGTTGCCCAGGTGTAAATGAGAAAAGAATTTGTCCCACTGAGCTTATTGAATATAGGATGCTGCAATATTCATTTTTCTTAAGAATCAGAGCGTCCGAATATTCCTAGGTTAATTCGTTCCAGAACTAATTTGATTAAATACATCAAAAACAACGGAAAGAATGAAAAGACATTCCTCTAAAAGTTGTCATATTGTCAGTTCAAAAGGTTAATTTTATTTCTATAAATCCTGTAACATATTTTGCGGTCTTCCTTGGAGAAATTAACCTTGCCTAAAATAAGAAAACATTGGCCTACTAAAGTTGATGGATACTGACTAGAGCAATCAAAAACTAGCAGGTAAAATTCGTAAGAATTTTTTCAAAACCATTTTCTCATCTTTTTGTTGAATTTAAAAATTTCAATACAAAATTTCGTTGACATTTCCCATTCTTCGAAATTTCTACCAGCTGCAAACTGGCCCCATCATATCAACCCAGACCCATCTCAGATAAGTGGACCAAGATATAAAGAAGATGAACCAATGACAATTTACACCTGCTGAGAATCTGCTCCCAATTTCATACCAGAATTCCTGTGTCATATTTATAACACATAAGATCACCCTATAATGTTTGTACCTAAGAGCAAACTTTCTTTCTTTCTTTCTTTCTTTCTTTCTTTCTTTCTTTCTTTCTTTCTTTCTTTCTTTCTTTCTTTCTTTCACAATCAACTGTATTGTCTTCTAATCTTAGCCTCAACCTGCCGTGAAAGTGAAGGGCCCCCAAACTGTGTCTCTGAGTTTTTCAGTGAGTTTGGATATTGGCCACAGTAAATAAATAAAATTTGCTTTGAGCGTAACCTGGGTTCTGCAGAGCATAAAGTGCTTAGCATGTCTCAGAATGCTGTTCAATAAAAATGCACAAGGTGCTCATTTTCCAAGTTTTTGAAATATATAGAAAAGTGTGGAGATACCACAGGGACAGAGCCATATAAGAACTTAGAAGGCTAGATGGATGCAAATCCTGATTTTATGGTGCTCTTAGAGGACATCTGTAACCTTTGTAAAATTTCAGGTTCTCCTAAGCAAAGAAACTTCACAGGGAGTTAAGGGCTTAATTTCAGTTCCATGGATCTCCCTAACACTGAAGCTCCACAGGAATATGCAAACTCAAGGAACATAATCTTTTGTTAACCTGGAATTTCAGCTAATCAGAGTTCAGAAAATCAAGGTTGTGCTGTATGTATTTTTAAGTATATGCAAGTTGCTGCATGACAAATAAATCTCCCTGTCATGCACAGATAGCAGCAATTATGTGCATATGTTAAAGGTTTAAAGTTCTCTTTGAACCCTGAGGATTATAAAATATGAAAACACCAATTAGAATGAAGTATATAATCACTGTAATAATCACAAGAAAGAGAATGAGTCAAAATGCATTTTTGGCTGAAATACAGTTTGTGGGAATCGGCAGTTGGATTTTCTGGCTGTTAACCTGCTGGGTAAAAAAGTTAGCAAAGGATTCTGTACCGAGCTCTCAATTAATAGTTCTGTTCTTAAAAATAGAATCACAAGAATGACAGGAATGACGGATAATGGTAGAGTGCCACCAATTTGTCCAGTGAGTGCTCTGCACCTGCTTTCCAGTCTCTCAGAGAGCGCACTTTGCATCCCAGGGTATAAGACAATTCCACAATTCATGACTCTTATTGTTCATTTTTGTTTGTGCTTTTAGCATTGAGTAGTAACTTCAAATGAATGTCAGTAATCTAACTCCAGCACTGGCAGCATTAGAGCTATGCTATGCTAAATTGTCTCCTTGTTTTAAGATTAGACTTCAAGGATTTTTTTTTTTGATTTTTTTTTAATGAAAGGGAAACTAATATCCTCCCTTTTGACAAGTTAGGAAACATTAGCCAATTAAATCTATTTATAAAACTCCCCTGCATCATTAGTGCTAGCATTCTCTCAAGCTCTGTTTTTCATTAGCTCAGAAGCATACTGTTGCTGGCATATAAAAGGACACAGTTTTATTCATGGAATGAAAAAACCCTAATGAACTAATATTAAACCTTAATCTTTCTTGTGTAATTCCCTAAAGTATAATCTTGGGCTTCTGGGAGCCCAGTTTAAGGTGAACGTTGGAAGTCTTGCCAGGAACAGCAGCACAGAATGAGGGTTCGGGCCGTTTCTCTGCTACCTGTTAGTCATCACTTGTCTGGACTAGAAGGTTGTGAGGCAGCTAGGTACTATGAATAAAACAGCAGCCCTTTCAATCAAACTTCTCCAGTGACATCTGAAGGTGTGGAGATATAAAAGGCACCAGGTCTTCAACTAAAACTGCGGTAAATTAAGTGGGATAGCAGAATCCTTTTGTGGAGAAGGGTAGCTTCTGGACAGAGGAGAGATCCAGCAAAATTTCACCTCTATTGACTGAACATGCCCTGGTGGGAGTGTTAATGTTTTATCTTAGCCTTAAGTTTGCAGCCATTGGGCTTGCTTTTCAGCTGCTAGTATGGTCATGGCATGTAGCTTCCTGAGATTGCTCAAAACTACATCACTCAGCATCACTGCTCTATGTCTACTACTGAGAAACAAAGTCGATGTATCATGGTAATCCGCATCTTTCCTTCCCTGTCCCCTCCCTACTCTCTGTCAGCCTGATTTATTGTGTCACTTGGACTAGTTAGACTAATAGCTCATTGAGGCAGAGAACATGTCCTTCTCTGAGGTGCCTATGTTAGGTTCTATTGTGGTATCTTACCAATGAGCAGATTGGTTTCAAGTTATAAACTCTTTCTTGAGAATGAAGGTTACATTCAGCAATAAGGTCACAAAACTTTCTACTACCCTCTGGCTGTAGCCTGCAACTTCTCTGTCCAGGGTTCTTTGCGTTGGCTCCCCAGCAGCAAGTGTGTCTCAGGAAACTCAAAGACCACATGACGTTGTACAAGAAGTGTGGCACCTGCTACTCTATAGCACACTTTCCTCTTTTAGATCCCTTTCTAAATGTCCTGCTTTCTCAGCACATTTTAGTTTAATGGTTGGGTTTATTGCAGTTCATGCATATTAGCCCCCGTGCTGGGCATTTCCTGTCCTCATGCAAGTTGCCACATCACTGGCATTGTTTCCTGCTTTCCATGTTTCTGTCCTTGTCCATTTTAATTTCTGTGAACTTGTCCCTGGCTGCTTTAACTGTTGTACAAAAAGTCTCATGCTCTGTGCCTTTCTCTAGGCTTTCTGTTTGTTCACTGCTTAGCATACACATATTGACCTTTCTAAAGTCTGATTCATCTCCCTTAGTCGTTCATGGACATTCTTATTGTTACACCCCAGAT